GTTACAATCCATGTGAGTTGTAAAGATAATAAGAGCTCTAAGAGTTCAAAGGAGAGAATTCAGGGAAGCCTTGAGGAGAGAATGATTTGAGTCTATTTTTAAAAAGTTAAATCAGCTTCTAATTTCTTTTTAAGTTGTAAAATACACATAAAATTTACCATAAACTTAATTTATTTAGAGACGGTCTCCCTCTTGAGTTATTTTGAGACTGTCTTGCTCTGTCACCTAGGCTGGAGTGCAGTACAGGAACATGACTCACTATAGCCTTGACTTAGACTTAGATCTCCCCACTGTTAGCTTCTGGAGTAGCTGGGACTACAGGTGTGTGCCACTACATCCGGCTAATATTTTTTGTAGAGACAAGGTCACTCCATGTTGCCCAGGCTGGTCTCAAACTCCTGGACTCAAGCAGTCCTCCTGCCTCGGCCTCCCAAAGTGTTGTGATTACAGGCATGAGCCACTGCACTTGGTCTTAACCATTTTTAAGTGTACAATTCAGCAGTGTTAAGTACATTCTCATTGTTGTGCAGCCAACACTGCCATCCATCTCCAGAACTCTTCACCTTGCAAAACTGAAACTCTGTACCCATGAAACAACAACTTTGATCCTATTTTTAAAGGAAGCAAGATTTCGGCTGGGCACGATATCTCATGCCTGTAATCCCTGCACTTTGGGAGGCCAAGGCAGGTGGATGGCCTGAGATCGGGAGTTCAAGACCAGCCTGGCCAATGTCGTGAAACCCTGTCTCTACTAAAAATACAAGAATTAGTTGGGCGTGGTGGCAGGCACCTGTAATTCCAGCTACTCGGGAGGATGAGGCAGAATTGCTTGAACCCAGGAGGCAGAGGTTGCAGTGAGCTGAGTTTGCGCCATTGCACTCCAGCCTGGGCAACAAGAGCAAAACTCTGTCTCAATCAATCATTCAATCAATCAATAAAGGAAGCAATATTTAAGGAGACAGGAGAAGTAACTGTGAACAGAGGTACACACACATGTGAAAGCCAGGCTGAAGCTGCATGTGGTGGTGCACACTTGTAGTTACAGCTACTCAGGAAGCTGGGGACCTCATGAGCCCAGGAGTTTTGAGACTGCAGTGAGCTTGATGGTGTAATGCATTCCACCCTGGGAGACACAGCAAGACCTCATCTCAAAAAAAAAAAAAAAAAAAAAAAAGGCTGAATTGGAGGCTTTTAATGGGAAGAAGTAATGAAGAGATCAGAAAGGTATGTTGAGGATAGACTGGATGGTCTTGGATATTAGGCTCAGGAATTTGGCCTTTATTTTGTAGGCATTGGGAAGCTGTGACCACCTCTAAACAGGATGAATAAAGCCTGGCCTGATACCATCTTTTGATTGGTTGCCATCTCCCTCTTTTCTTAACTTCACATTGCCCCATATTACTATCATATTAACATTCCTCAAATATTCCTGCCATTACCAAATACTGAGTACAAATAATGGCAAATGCTTAATAAATATTTGCTCTTTGCTTTAGGCAAATTAATCATGAAATGATTTGTGAGGTAGACTAGACAAGGAAAAAGAACAGGGAGAAGAAATAAAGATCTCAGAACAAAGGTCTCTGAGGAAAAAACATTTAAAAAAAAAAAAAAAGTCAAGTGTGGTGGCTCACACCTGTAATCCCAGCACTCTGGGAGGCCAAGACGGGTGGATCACCTGAGGACAGGAGTTCAAGACCAGCCTGGCCAATATGGTGAAAGCCCGTCTCTACTGAAAATACAAAAATTAGCTGGGCGTAGTGGCGTGCGCCTGTAATCCCATCTACTCGGGACGCTGAGGCAGGAGAATGGCTTGAGCCCAGGAGGCAGAGGTTGCAGTAAGCTGAGATGACACCACTGCACTCCAGCCTGGAAGACAGAGTGAGATTCTGTCTCAAAAACAAACAAACCAACAAGAAAGAAATATAGATAGCCAGGCCAGGCATGGTGACTCACACCTGTAATACAGCACTATGGGAGGCTGAGGCAGGAGGATTGCTTGAGCCCAGGAGTTCAAGACCAGCCTGGGCAATATAGTAAGACCCCCTATCTCTACAGGAAACAATAAAATACAATAAAAATGGCAGTTTCTCGATTTGCTGTGCTGGGGTTCTGTGTGGTAACTGCCTCTTCAGAATCACTGATGGCCAGGTTCACTCCTCAAGACTGGAAGGAACACCCACAAGGATGGGGTTTTTGAGGTCAGAACTCCAGGTAGTTTTAATTTTTAAAAAAATTTTAAAATTATACAGGGGCCAAGCACGGTGGCTCATACCTGTAATCCCAGTACTTTAGGAGAACATGGCAAAACCCTGTCTCTACTAAAAATACAAAAAATCAGGCCGGGCACGGTAGCTCACGCCTGCAATCCCAGCACTTTGGGAGGCCAAGGCAGGTGGATCACCTGAGGTCAGGAGTCTGAGACTAGCCTGGCCAACATGGCGAAACCCCATCTCTACTAAAAATACAAAAATTAGCTGGGCATGGTGGCAGGCACCTTTAATCCCAGCTACTAAGGAGGCTGAGGCAAGAGAATTGCTTGAACCTGGGAGGCGGTGGTTGTAGTCAGTCAAGATTGTGTGCCATTGCAATCCAGCCTGGGTGACAGCGAGACTCCGTCTCAAAAATAAATAAATAAATAAATAAATAAATAAATAAATAAATTAGCTGGGTGTGTTGTGCTCACCTGTAGTCCTAGTTACTCAGGAGGCTGAGGTGGGAGGATCACCTGAGCCCAGGAAGTTGACGCTGCAGTGAGCTGTGATCACACCATTGCACTACAGCCTGGGTGACAGAGCGAGACTCCGTCTTAAAAAAAAAAACAACTTTTTTTTTTTTAGAGATATGTGATCACAGCTCACTGTAACCTTGAACTCCTTACTTCAAGCAATCCTACCACAGCCTACAGGTGTGTGCCACCACACCTGGCAAATTTTAAAAAATTTTTTGTAGAGATGGGGTCATGCTATGTTGCCCAGGCTGGTCTCAAACTCCTGGCCTCAAGTGAGCCTCCTGCCTCAGCCTCCCTAAGTGCTGGGGTTATAGGTGGGAGCCACAGAACCTGGTTGCATTTTTTTATTTAATCACATCTTGATCTTTTCATATCAATAAACATATCCTCATTATTAACTGTTGTGTAGAATAGCATACTGTGGGTATAGTTTATTTAGCTATTCTTTTTTTCATGGAAATTATGATTGTTTCCAGTTTTTTGCTACTACCAAGAGTGTTAACAGTGAACATTCTTGTACCTCTTTATACATACATATGTGTATTATTTGAGAATAGAGAAGTGGGATTGCTGAGCTGAAAGATATGCATTTGTTTTTTTTTTTTTTGAGATGGAGTTTCGCTCTTGTTGCCCAGACTGGAGTGCAATGGCGTGACTTGGCTCACTGAAACCTCTGCCTTCCTAGTTCAAGGGATTCTCCAGCCTCAGCCTCCCAAGTAGCTGGGGTTACAGGCACCGGCCACTATGCCCAGCTAATTTGTTTTGTATTTTTTGTAGAGACGGGGTTTCACTATGTTGGCCAGGCTGGTCTCCAACTCCTGAACTCATGATCCACCCACCTCGGCCTCTCAAAGTGCTGGGATTACAGGCATGAGCCACCACACCTGGCCGAGTTTTAATTTTTGATGGAGTCAAATTTATTAGTCTTTTTTTTTTTTTGTCTTAATGGCTCTCTGACTTGGGTTTTCTGTTTTTGTGTGTGATTTCTTTCTTTCTTTCTTTTTTTTTTTGAGATGGAGTCTGGCTCTGTTGCCTAGGCTGGAGTGCAATGGCATGATCTCGGCTCATTGCAACCTCCACCTCCTGGGTTCAAGCGATTCTCCTGCCTCAGCCTCAGCCTCCTGAGTAGCTGGGATTACAGGTGCGTGCCACCATGCCCAGCTAATTTTTGTATTTTTAGTAGAAACGGGGTTTCAACATGTTGGTCAGGCTGGTCTCGAACTCCTGACCTTGTGATCCACCTG